TCCTGGAACTACTGGACTCTCGCAACACAGACCCCAACCTGGAGGATTAGGACTGTGTTCGTCAGACCTCTAACCATTGACCAACCTGGTATGAGTGACTGACTATCGCCGGGACACCACCCAGTATAGCGCAATGGGTCACTGTGGTGCGCAAACCGTTACACCACGGTAAGGTCCAATCTGTTCGTGACAAGAATGGACATTTACATCAGGCAATCTATTCTTGGTTAGTCAAGCATATTGAAGGACACCCCAATCGGATACATCCACGCCGGTAAACATGGGGGCTCGATATCCTAAGCCCGAGTTCAACCATCCCGATGTAGCAGAGAGAGCGTATGAGAAACCTTGGTTTCCCAGTACCAGTACTACCCAATGATTCTGCATTTGGTGCTGTCGTTCGGGATCTCAGCCTTCCGGTCCGAGCTTAAGATGTATACGTGAACGCCAGGGAAGAGCTGGCGGCTGCTTGGAACCAAGTCTTCACAACAGCATTGACGGTTGTGGTTTGCGAGAGTTGGTTGCTCCGCCTCTTTCGAATCCATAGTTTGTGTTCTCAGGACTTTCTCCCCCGGGTATTCACTCGTGGTATACAGCTCCGGTACAACCTGATTAAGACAAGAGTTAGAAGCGCCCGATCACGTAGAAAACTGTGGTCAGTAAGAGAGTTTGGTAGATATTCTGCAGTCCTGCCGGATCACACATGATGTTAGGCGGGCTCGTCATAATCAGGGGTCGTACAAAGCACTCAAAGACGTATGGCCGAACCGGAAGTTTGTAGGCCTCCCAGTGACATAAACCGATCGGGAGAACGATTTATGGACAAGAGCTACCTGCTAGATTAGATGGATGTCGGAAGCGCCCCTGCGTAAATGATCCTCTGAACTTAATAAGAGGATATTTTCAAATACTTTAGTGGGTTGAGGTTCAGATACCTAGTAACTTTTAGGGTGTGACAGCTGAACGGATCCGAAAGGACTTGAATAAGGAATGTATGATCCCGGGTGTGTGAATGAAGGGCTGCAAGGACGAGTGATACTTCTTGGTTGCCGATGCCTAAGTAGTTTTATTAAGGTATCATACTGTGAACATTTGACAAGAATGTTTAACCCAGAAAGCAGTGAGATAGTATCGGGTTCTGCTCGTTGAATATTTCGCTGGCCTCTGGCTAAGTAGACCAAGATCACGAGGCAGCAGTCGCTAGCGCCTTTGAGGGACCATTGCAGGAACCAATGCCCCAAAATATTACCAGCATGTGAAGGTGTGGCATGTACAAATGGAAACACCAGGGGACAGTGACCCTTCGATGTTAAGGGTTAACGGCAATCTCCGTGGATCGATACATACGATCGAGATTTTGGCCCAAGTTTCCCTTGTCGGGCTCGCCCTTGTTGTTCAGCGGCTGTGCCTGAAAGGCACAAGGTAAAGTGTGTAGCACTGTTCTTTAAGCTCTCAGCACATGGCAGTAAGCTTGTCAGCCTGAGGACTCACGTATAAAACCGTCCAAAATTCTTTCAACTAGATATAGCCCGAACGCGCGTCGAAGGAAGACTACTGCACGCACCAACCACCCGAAATTAGAACAATTGCTGCTCAATAAGTGTGCCATCTGGGCTTCAAAATTTCACTACCACATCGCCGCCGTGTTAATTCGGTCAACGGTGAAAACCCCGTTGGCGACGACACTCTAGAGGAAGGTCAAACATCGCGAGAAGTGTTTCATAATCCACGGATTTAGGGTCGGTGACTATTTTCGTAGCAGCTAGCTGGGCACGCCCAATGAGTTACGTGGTTCCTGAGTCCCCTTGAGGGACAGAAACGGAGAACCGACGAGTGACCGAACATTGGTATCTGAGGTTTACGGAAAACACTATGCCTGTCTATACTCAGCCCCAGAGTCTTCGTCACATCCACTCTTGTCAAGACGAAACTACGAACAGCCTCTAACCGACTTGGTCTACACGGTGGAGGATATTCATCAACTCTTGCACAAGATCAACCCATTCTGCGCGTTGGGGACCGACGAGGTCCATCCAAGGATCCTGAAGGAAACGTCGTCCCCACTGGCAAATTATTTATACCAGATGTTTCGTCAGTCGCTTGACGAAGGCCGCCTTCCCTCTGCTTGGAAGGAAGCGATTGTCACGCCAATCTACAAAACTGGTGACCGACTATCGCCTGGCAGCTGCAGTCGCATAAGCTACGGCCACAGTCCTCACTAGCGTGCCGTGCAAGGTGATGGAACGCATTCTGAAGTGAGCTATCCTAGATCACCTTACTTCCAGCAACCTGATATCGCCAGCTCAACACGAATCTCTCCCAACCCGCTCTTGCGTGACAAACATGCTCGTGTTTATGGACAGCTTAATCCAAGCCAAGGACGTAGGACTCATATCGGATGCCATATTTTTCGATTTCTTTAAAGCATTTGACAGGGTTCCACATGCCCGCTGCTCCACAAATTCGAGTCTTACGGGATTCAAGGGAAATCATTCGCTGGATCAAGGCGTTCCTATCAGATAGACCATTTCGAGTCAGAATAGGCTTGACCTACTCTTCTCCAGCGTCGGTCTCCGTTGGAGTTCAACGACCTCCCAGATGTTCTTGCAAGTCCGTGTCTACTTTTTGCGGACGACTTGAAGTCCTGGAGTTCCAATGCCACTGCCCTACAAATGGATGTTGACCCTGCAAAGCAGTGGTCGCTGGACTGGCGTTCAGCTGCAGCACCCTTCCGGTGCCTAGCTGCCATGCCACCCGAAGGAAGCACGAGGGCTGGGATACTGCCAGGTTGCCCAAGCCTAGACAGGG